CGTCACTGACAGGAGTGTTGATACTCCGTTCAGACTGGCTGATCTTTTGTGTTTAGTGGCTGTCTTTGTTCTTTCTCTGAGATGTTGGTGCGAAAGCTTTGTCTACAGGTATTTCACATGCATGCAATGAACTCTCTTGAAGATTTCCTTTCCCTTTTGGCTCTGGGTACAGTCAGAAATGTCAAAAACAGTTGAAAAGATTTGCTTTGAATTCCTCTTTTCATTTAAAATGTTTTTAACCTATAGCTCCTTCTCTCAGCAGGTTATGGGAATGGTTACAGCAATGGTCACGGGGCTGGTGAGTGTCAATTAAAGAAAAAAGATGTGCAATTAAGGAGGACTACTTAAAGGGTCATTAGCTCACAGATGTAATCATAATGCTAATTAGAGCTATGTTTCAGGACTCGGTTACCCTTCAGAGTTAGCTGACGGTGCTGAGAACAAATCAGGGAAGCGTAAAGGTAACAATTTTGCAGTCATAACCTGCTCAAACCTGTAATCGGTGATGGCACTAACCCGTAGATGCTTAATACATACATATTATGTATTAAACTGTAACATATTACAGCTTAACAAAATAAGAGGCCTTAAAGGAAGAACACATGTCCAGTGTTATCCACTGGGTGTAGCTATTGTCTCTTATTTATAGAAGCTGACCAGTTTAATCTGGTGGTTTCTGTCTTCCTGCTTCATGTAGATCCCTTTTACACTATTTAATTTAAAGGTGTGAATCAGTTAATGGATGAACAATGTCTCACCTGCATTATATCTTTTCTGATTTTTCCAGCCCTCGGTACAGGAGGCTATGCTGGACAAGGACAGGGAGCATATGGTAAGAGATTTAATGATTGTAGCAGCATCAGAGATTACACTGTACGTTCCTCTGGCTGCCAAACACGGTTACAAATAAACTTTTAAATACTAGAGGTGTGAATGACTCCCAATAAGGCTGCAGTGCGTTCAAAGTTTTAATCAGAAAACAAGATTAAAGCTAAAGCGAAAAATATCTGTCGACCACATTTCAGAGAAATCTATTGCTTTTTGAGAAATGCTTGTATCGAGCTGAAGGGAAATAACCTCCCACCATAGGGAGCTCTGTATGAATATACCATCTGTGTTGTTTGTCACTGAAGCCCCTTGTGTCTTCTTTCAGGAGCACTTGGTGCAGGACTCGACTCAACTGGTGGCAAATATGGTGAGCAGTGCTGACATTGACCTCGTCCTTCTGTCACACTATTAGTCAGGCTTCTGTCGATGTGGCTTTCCATGCATGAGTCAGATTTGAACTGGTGGATCGCACAGAGATGGTTTATAGCACGTGCAGGTTAAAAGAGAGAAGAGGCATGATTCAAGTTTGCCCATCTGATTTCTTCCTTGCAGGAGGAGCTCAGGTTCCTTATGGTAACGTTCCAGTGATTCCTACTGGACTGGAGGGTAAGAGCTGCAGGTGTTAGCAACTTCAATTCACCCTTTGCTAAGCCCCGCCCCCCGCTGCTACTCTGTCAAGCTGTCAGAGCTACATTACCATGGAGCCCACTCTGTCACTAAGTACAGTCCCTAAATACATATTATCTAATTTTTGGAAAACATGAAAAGCGTTTTCAGATAGAAGTAGACAGAAATGTCTACAATATGTATTTGAAGGAAATATCCAGGATGTCCAACTAGAAAAGATAAGACTGAAAAGATAAAGATAGAAGCAAAAGCCCACAGATCACAGTAAACCATCGCATCACCTGGTGATCGAGACAGAAGACAATGCAATTAAGGAGCAACATTGTTCATGTAACGAATATCACTATTATACAATGTTTCACCATGACTATTTTCAAATCTACAAAAAACCAGCCTGAAAATAAAGAAAATCTGAAACCATTGCATGAGAGTCAGGGGAGCAGTTCCGGTTACTTGTCAGACTCTGGTCAGAGCAGGCCTGATGCTGCCTGATGCTTTAATTGGCTAGTCTGCTTTTTAGGGCCGAGACTTAGTGAAGGGTCAACTGCAACCGTAATCTAAAATAGAGTACACTTGTATTACAGAATGCATCATAGTAAGTCATATCAAACATAGCAGCTGCTAATTAAAGTCAAAAAACAGCTAAACATAACTGTTAGGCCACTGTTCTACTACAACATGTAATGAAAATGTAACTGAATAGTCTGACATTTTGGGAATTACAGCAGTACATAATTCAATGTAAAACGGCAAACTGTTGTTTTTACACTTTGGTTTTTGTACGGATTAAACTAACGAGATACAACATGTTAATTAGTGAGCTTCAGAAGAGTAGGCTGGAAGGATTTTGTGATCTTTTCTTGGGCCTACTAGCTCTTTCTCTCCGATTCCAGTCTGTTTGCTAAGCTAAGCTAACTGACTGCTGGCTCGAGCCACAAGACTACCTCACAGACGTGTAACTCTCTGCAAGAATGCGAACAGAAAGCGTAATCTATACACGCCAAAGTAAAATAATGGACTCCACATTCTTGCCTCCACCTCTTTGTTGTTTTCGTATATAAGGACACTTTGATGTGTGTTTATTTGACATTTGTAGCTGAAATTGTGTCCTTCATTAAAAGGAATAAACTCCAGCAACGAAATACAACAGCCTCACTTCGTTACACTACAATCACCCATCATGTTAGTTAAAAACTCCACGGCTACCAGAACAGTTGAATAAGTAACGGATTTGTCACCCCCCCCAGGTGATGGGGGCTACCCGTATCCTGCTCAGCAGCTCAACCTTGGTGCTGAAGGCGCCAAAGCCGCCAACAAATATGGTGAGAATGTGTGTGTGTGTGTATGTGTATGTGTATGTGTGTGTGTGTGTGTGTGTGTGTGTGTGTGTGTGTGTGTGTGTGT